TGTGAATTTCCATCGGAGCAAAGATTGGGCCTCCAGTCACTAACTAGATCTGACTGCATAAATAATCAAGCCAGTGGCTCTCCATTTTCCTTTATTGTTGCGTTAATTCATTCCTTTTCTACAGCTCTCTCAACTTCAATCCTTTTACTGCCTACTTTTGAGTTAACATCTCCGATTACTACCACTAGGCCATGTTTAGCAATTTCATTTATCCGACACTGCAGCTGGTCAAAACAGAAAACTTTATTCTGAGACTTAGCATCATTAGCTTGGGCATAATACTGAATGATGGTAATTTCAATATGCTGTGCGCTAAGCCGAGCTCCAACCGTTCTGCTTAAAACAGAATCCTATTCTGCTTGAAAAAGGGCTCCCATTGCGCTTGAAATACGATCCCATTCTGCTTGAAATAGATTCCTATTCTGCCTCAAATAGGTTCCCATTCTGCTTGAAACAGACTCCAATTCTGCTTGAAATAGGCTCTCATTTTAGCAGACATTTTTGCATCATATTGCCTACTGTGTTTTTCCATCTTATCTTCCTGTGTATATAAGGAAAGTCGACTAACAGCTCTTAGCAGAATCAGACACATAACAGAGGAAACAAGGGCAAGATAATAAGGACACAACTGGACATAGGATGACCCATTCTCAAGGAAGACAGGGATATAAGGAATACCATGGCGACCGAGGTAAGAGCGGTCTGCCTGTGAGGACTAGGACTTAAAGCCAGAGAGCTGGCACACACACCTGAACTTGAGTCACGAAAGTTGCGCAAATAAACTAAACCAAAGATATAACTGGGGACTTTTTGCAGCTTCAGCTTGCTAACAGCAGGCTAAACGTGGTCGAACTTTTTTTTTAAATCAGCTGCAGGTCACCTAACTTCACTTAACCCTTAAACAGATGGTTGGTATCTCTTCATTTCGTCTGCTATTTGGGAGGATAATGTTGTCTGTGCCATAGTTCCAACATTCCCAAAGCCTTTTATAGCAATTAGTTTTGAGCCAGTCAGTTTTCATGTCTCGCCACTGACTTCCTAGGAAAAGATTTCATTTGTAACCGTCATACTCGGTGCTGCACCACAAATCACGTGACTCGAAGCTTTCATCCGTAACCGTCATACTTGGTGCTGCACCACACACCACGTGACTCGTTTGTTGACCGATCTGGCATCCGTTTCTTCACGTTCTATAGCAACACTCTTTGACATTTTTGGGTAGCTGGCCCTACGCCTAACCCTCCCCCTTTCTTAAGCTGGCCTAGGATTGACAATCCACTGTGTATGGATATGTGAGTATAATAGTTACAAAAATTATTACAGAGATTTACAGAAAGAGAAGAGAAGAAAAAAAACGGACAAATATATATATATATATATATATATATATATATATATATATATATATATATATATATATATATATATATATATATATATATATATATATATATATATATATATATATATATATATATATATATATATATATATATAAGAAAGAAAAATAAGAAACAATAATAAAAAGAATGTAATATATCGCAATACATATCTTAAAAATGCAGTTCATGCGAGTGCAACGTCCGACTGCGTCACGACACAAAATTGAAATCTGCAGTTCTTTATCTAAATATGCAAATATCTACTCATATTAAAACCAATTCCTGATTCTGAATTTGGCAATACGAAATTCTAATAACGTAAATCTGTTATGCAATGGATTAAACGAACAGGAAGCCTAAGCCAAAGCCAACATTCAGGTACACATCTAGGATATTGTGTGACAACATGTCTAAGCCAGCAGGGAGTACATTCTCCCGCAACAGACCGGGTGCTAGATGGTGCAGTAATCTAATGAGTTTGCTACCTTCACAAGTTGTCACTGGTTTCAGAAAGCGTCATTGGCTGTTGTATAATCGTGTTTGACAAACGCGTCAGGGAGAATCATTGATATGAGAAAGTGATTTTTATTTACTTAGCAAAGGAGACTACCTAATTATTTACATCTTTAGAAACTCTAATTTTAGTTATCGTCTTTTAAGTTACGAAGAAATTAATTGAAGCTTTTGAATTGAAATGTTGCAGGGCAATTATCAGAATACCATGCAACAAGAGGAAGAAGATCAGTCATCATACAAGATGTAAGAATCGAGAAAAACTATCTTATAAACAGCATCCTGTTCGCTGAAGTAGTTTGGTCATATTACACTTTATGGTGGTATGGACAGGACTGTGATGGGAGATAGTTTCCCTCGTTTTCTTCTCCGCGCTCGGTTTCGCATGCTCAGGTAGGCTGGCTCTGTGAACTCGCATATCAGCTGCAGGTCCTTCATGGTTCTCCATTTGTTGCTCTGTACACTTGGCTCTTGAGGCCAGGTGTCTTTTCGAAGGTGAAGATAGAGTGAGCAGGTCTGCAGAACGTACTCAGGTGTTTGTGGTCCTGTTTGACAGGCACACTATGGAGCCTGCAGTGTCCTGTTTGTAGACGGATTTTTTTTTCTTTGGGATGTTGTTTTTAGCTGAGTCTGCTGATAGGGTCTTGTGGATGTTTGCTGTCGGTTCGTTCTCTCCACAAATTATGGTATTTTTTGTTTATAAGTGTTTTGACTTCTGGTAATGACAATGAATGGGTGTGTTCTTTCTTCTTTGTTCCATTTTTTGCAAGTCTATCCGCCAACTCATTTCCTGGTATGCCGCAGTTGGTCAGGATCCACTTGAGAACGATTTGATTGTTTTCTGAGTCTGTTTAGCTGACAGGTCAACTCTCTTTCTCTCTATTCGTGTTGTTTCGTGGATCTCTTTGAGTTGCCAGGAAGACTTATAAAAAGCCAGACAGAAAACAATTGTGCTGTCTTTAGTATTTGTATCGTAGTTTCCAGAAAACGAGGCACTAGCTGATTCTGCAATGGTAGCTACAAGACACAGAAGATGCAATGAATGTAAAAGCACATTAGTTAGTTAGTTAGTCTTTCCTCTTGTGTCGAGTGCGGCACATAGGGCAGAGGTCGTGACTCTCCATGCACGGCGGTCCGTTGCAATCCAGGTCTTGGATGTTTGAGACAGCGACTTCCCTGATGATAGTTCTACGTAGGGACCTGGTTTCCACGAGATCTTTTCCCTGTGGTGTCCAAAACAAGGAAGTCTTGACACATCCATTCTAAACGTGGCCGACATAGTTACAGCGGCGTTTTCGTATAAAATTAGACACAAACTCTTGCGCTGGAGCAGTTTGCCTTATTTGTAATTGGTTAGAAATCTGACCATTTGAAATTTAGTATTCTTCTAAGGCATTTATTTTAAAACTGTCTAACTCTAGAGTTTTTGTTGATTTGACTCTTGCATCCATAGGTTGAGTACTGGAATCACACAAGAATTGAAGATCTTGAGTTTTGTGTGTGTTTGCTAAGTGTCAATTTGCAGATGTAGGACACTTCATTGAAGGCACTAGATGCCAGTGCTATTCTAAATGATAGCGGTATCTCCTGTAGATGACATCTTGCTCCCTAGATAAGTGAAACTGTTGACTTTTTCAAGGCTGTTGTTGTTCAGCGTGATATCAACTGAACTGTTGGTAGGTCTATAATTTTTGTTTTTGCAGTGTTAATTTGGAGTCCAATTTGTTCTGAGAAATTCTGGAGTCGATTGATTTTTTCTTGGGCGTCTGTGTGTTCTGAACTCAGGAGTGCTATGTCGTCAGCGAAGTCTAGGTCTTCCAGAATTTTAAAAGCACATAGGGCTGGATAAATGGCTAGAGTAAGATAGACTTTATGGCTTGCCATGAAGACAGCGACGTTGCACATAGGACCTGTTTATTGATCATGTAACAATAACACATCGCTAACACGAATCGTACAGAACAGTCGGTTAAAATGAACAAAATATTGATCGCAGCAGTTCCATATAATTATTAGTTCGGTTAGCGAAAAGTGTTTTTAACACGAACTCTAGATTTGTTTTGATTTTGAAAAGGTTGAGTTTGGATCGTTAAAAGGGTGAAATTGATTTGCTAAAAGACAATTTAATTTGCATAGGATGACTTCAGATTCCTATCATGCATAAGTAGCAATATTGAGAAATTTAAAATAACTGGGATAACGACAGAAACAGAGGCAACATAAGTGGTATCTATAATTGTTGCAGTCGTTGTTGTAGTAACAGTAGCAATAGCGGTACTAATAGTAAAAATCGTAGTAATGGTAATAGTAGTTGTTATATTTGCAGTACATGCAGTAGTCGTAGTAGTAAGTAAATTTAGCAGTCTGTTGCTGTAGCTCTAGTAACTGTTGTATTAGTAGCAGCAGCAGTAGCAGCAGTATATGAAGTAGTAGCAGCAGCAGCAGTAGTAGTAATAGTAGTAGTAGTTGCTATTGTTGTCGTTGTTGTCGTAATAGCTGTATTCGGAGTAGCAGTAGAACTAATTGTAGTAAATTGTGGTAATAGTAATAGTAGTAGCAGCAGCAGTAATAGTAATAGCAGTAGTAATAGTATTAGTAATAATAGTAGCAGCAGCAGCAGCAGCAGTAGCAACGTCAGCGATATTAGTGAGCACAGGGATATACGTAGTATGACAGCAACAGCAGCAGCACCGGCAGCAATAACAACAGTGACAATAGCCATGATTGTGTTACGCCTAGTAAAACTGTAGTTGTAGTAACAGTAGCAGTGGCGGGGTGGTGGTGGTGGTAGTAGCAGCATCAATAGTGAAAGTAGCGAGGACATGAAAACACATAGTATAGTAATAAAAGTGGTGGTGGGTTGGTGGTGGTAGTAGTAGCAACAACAGTGAAAGTAACGAGGAGAGAGATACATAAAGTATAGTAATATTAGTGGTGGTAGGATGGTGGTAGTAGTAGTAGCACCAACAGCACTGATAGTAGTGGGACAGTGATACACATAGTATAGCAGTATTAGCAACACACAGCAACACACAGCAACATCAACAACAAAAACAACAGCGACAACAGTTGCAAGGACAAACAATACAGTCACGTAGCACTCACCTTTCCTTGTTGGCCGGGATGTTGGTCAGTGTGATGTAGTTAGAGCGCACACTCCGAAGACTAGCCAGAATCTGAGCAAAGGGCGTCACGATCAAATCCTCAGCATGTCTGGGGGAATTAAAAAACGTAAATACTTTACTTTTGGGTTTGTCTGATTTCTCCGTACAGCCCTTTCGGTTATCAGTTGAACTCTTCCTCCCAGCTTGTCGTTTCTCACATTTCTTCCCATTTTTATGAAATAGGGGAGATAAGAAATTCAGCTTCTGCATGGTGACCGTCGGCAAATGAAATTTGCGAAGCCTGCTGGAGTTTTTGATAAAATCGACTCACTTTTGACAGGTCTTGCTACAGAATCTGGCATCTTGCTGTTTCACAAATCTTCCTAAGAAACGAATGTATCACTTTTGTTCAGAGCTATCACATTTCACCTCTAGAACTGAAATAACACGTCAAGGTTTATCTTCCCGTTTTCACAAAAACGTAACAAAGTTATCGACCTTAATGTTTTTAAATGAGGAAATTATCAGTGAATTTAATTACATAATAAACGATATTATTAAACAGTATGTCTCGAAAACCTGGAAGGTAGGGACTGTACAGATATAAAATACATTTGCTAGGTGAGTAGGTAAAACCTGCTGAGAAATAAAGGCGGCTAGCGTGATATTGATAAACCCCACCGACAACAGAGTGCCGATAGTCAGTCTATAGATTATAGGTCTAGCCCTATATGCCCACGACGCCTAAAGGCATGGAAAGGGGTCATTTACTTCACTTTATAATGTTAACATAGGAAGGCAAACAAGTAATTAAAAAAAAAAATATATTTTACAATTTGGTTATAGGAGGGTCTATTGAGGCTGGTTAGAGAGTACAGTAGAATTAGAATATCTATATATAGAGTAGTAGAGGTAACACACACACACACACACACCCTCCCCCAGTCCATCATTTATGTCGCCCCTGAATCCTCATTCCCATGTGAGGCCCTGCACGGGATATTATCTAATAACTGATTGGGTAAAACATCTATTATCATTGCAAAAAACGCATTCAGTTTTCAGACCCTATGTGTTTAAAAAGTGGCGCTAGTACTTGGGGATGTATGATAGTCACCGGCACTCCACACCAGGACATTGGAGTGCCAGCCATCTGCAAAAACCTGCTTACAATACCAGGAACAGCATCGCATCAGTTGTGTTTTCAGCGCTACTGCAACAGACACTATGTGGTAAGTACGAACACTCTTTTTTAAAGGACATCCATAAATACAATAAGAGGAAATAAAGTAGGCTATGTTAGCAGGCAAAGAAGGATGGTGGCAAGCGTATACTTTACAAGTTGAGCAGATGAACTTCGTTGTACCGATTTTTATCATAGAACGATTGGCCTTTCTCTCTCTCTCTCTCTCTCTCTCTCTCTCTCTCTCTCTCTCTCTCTCTCTCTCTCTCTCTCTCTGTGTTTCCCTCGTTCTCTCACTTTCCTTTTCTCTCTCATTCCCTCTCTCCCCCTCTCTCTCTTTCTCTCACTTTCCTTTTCTCTCTCTCTCATTCCCTCTCTCCCCCTCTCTCTCTTTCTCTCACTTTCCTTTTCTCTCTCTCTCTCTCTCTCTCTCTCTCTCTCTCCCCTGTCTCTCCCTCTTCCTCGTTCTCTCACTTTCATTTTCTCTCTTTCTCTCTCTTTCTAACTCTCCCTCTCTCTAACTCAAATTTTTCTCTCTCTCTCTCTCTCTCTACAGAACAGCTAACCTCTGACGATATCGTCGCACAAAGCATGATATCTCTAGCTACAACGACGATCCACTGATAAAACGAATCATTAATCTTTAAAACGCTAGTTCAAAAGACTTGCCCACTTAGCCCCAAAGACCGCGACTGAGCATTAACAATTCATAAAGAGAGGTCATGAATAAATGAATCAATTAAGAATTGACATCTCTGCACTCGCGAAATTCCCACAAGTGATCCGTCTCCTTCAGCAGCAACCAACGGAGTAACTATTGCAACCTGATTAAAAGTCCGCCTATGTCTGACTGTCTTCCAGACCCCCTGCTCACCACTCGCTAAATAAGTCTATCAATCTATGGATACTTGAAGGGGCTGCGTGGTCTCGAGGCATGGTGTCCGCTTTGAGTGCTTTAGATTGCCTGTTCAATCCCCAGTAAGGGCTGGGATTTTTTCACGTGGACTTAGACTTCTAGTAATTCCCCCTGGTCTCTGGGTAGTGAGATCAGACGCCCGTGTGCATTGCTGCGCACGTAAAAAATACATTGGCAGTTGGACCTCGAAAAGAGTAGCCTAACGGCGCTGCCCGGTCAAACATTTTGAGTTAAAAATCTACCCAAGGTATTTCAGGATCCTCGCCTGTGCTACGGAGCCTGTACACTGTGCTGAGCTTCTTCGGACTCAGAATTGAGTTAGAAGAAATAACGGAGCACTTATGGGTTATTACCCGTGTGCCAGGATGTTGATCTGTTGTTCAAACCTCAAAACCTTATCTATGGATAGTTTGTATATTCTGTTACACTTGTCCACAGACAGCCTTTATCACTTCCGCTTTATCACAAAGTAGCTCAACAGGCAGAAGCGCGGCAGCAGTCGATATATCAGCTTGCTTATTACCCCGCACACCCGAACGTTCAGGACATACAAGTTACGATATGCTCCTAACTAGTCTCTCATCAAGCGAAGCAAGCCATTATACGCGCAGTAGGCCCATTTCTATTTTTCCAAACCATGCTCGGTGATTCCTTTACAACAACCACATGTTAGGATGTTCTGCTCTCAAGCCATCGGGATGCTGCTGCTACTGCCTCCGACTCCCTCCCCATTTCCTTTCAAAGGTGATTTCGTAATATTCTACCCCAGATGGCGTTAAGGACAGTCCAACATTTTAAAGTGTGGTAAGACTGGGTTTCCCGGCTTTCTGATGCTGTTAACGACCCCAAAACATCTAGAACTGGCCCTGACCCCAACCCACAAACATCCCACGAGAGAGTGCAGACTAGATCCCACGACTGCATGCAGCCTAGATCCCACGACTGCATGCAGCCTAGGTCCCACGACTGCATGCAGCCTAGATCCCACGAGAGAGTGCAGCCTAGGTCCCCCGACTGCATGCAGCCTAGGTCCCACGACTGCATGCAGCCTAGATCCCACGACTGCATGCAGCCTAATCCCACGAGAGAGTGCAGCCTAGATACCACGACTGCATGCAGCCTAGATCCCACGACTGCATGCAGCCTAGATCCCACGACTGCATGCAGCCTAGATCCCACGAGAGAGTGCAGCCTAGATTCCACTACTGCATGCAGCCTAGATTCCACTACTGCATGCAGCCTAGATCCCACGACTGCATGCAGCCTAGATCCCACGACTGCATGCAGCCTAGGTCCCACGACTGCATGCAGCCTAGATCCCACGACTGCTTGAAGACTAGATCCCACGACTGCATGCAGCCTATCTACCACCAACGTGACCTATGAAATTCCTGTGTGGGGTCGGATATTAAGAAAGCACCGCTCTCATACTGGATGTTGTGACGTTATACTCTAGGCTGTCTGTCTTTACACCGTATCCATTAATCTTTGCAATAAAACCCCATCCATTATTTGTTTTACCGCTACGTACCCACTTGTGTTGTAATGAGTCATTTTATCATTGTTAATTAATGTTCTCATTTGCAAATGAGGTTAACTACCAAGCATAAAGTATGTACCTCAGGTTGGTTGAATGGTATCTATCACTAAGTATAATGTATGCAAGAACAGGATCGAGTAATAAATAATACGAGACGACAAATGTGAAAGTTGGCTGAAAGTGGGCCGAATGGGAAAAAGCATAAATCGTGTGTGGAACGTTCGACAACCCGAGAGGGGTACATCAAAAACTTGGAATGATCAAGAAATTCAGTCTTGTTTCAGAGGTTGAGAAAGCCGGGTGGTATGGCGTTTGTAGAAAGAAAAGTGAGTGAACCTTTAGAGAACGTGAGTGTCTGAACGAGCAGCCAACCAGGCTGACGAACCAGTTCCGTAGATATGGCTGATTTTGGCGTCTGCTGCGAGAGAAGTGTTTTCAAGTCTACGTATGGTAGCTTTGTAAGTAATGCCTGTAATGCTGAATTCACTGATGTCATGTATGTTGCCGTTCTGGTCGCCCTGGACGTGTATACCTCTGGTGCATTGGCGGAGGAAACAGTTGTTGGAACCAATAAACATCTCGTAACTGATTAGCGGTGTGTTGTTTCCAACGTTGCTATTTCGTGTTCAAGATGACGATGAACTGTCTGCCAGTGTGCCTAGGAAGGTTGAATGCGACTAGTGCCTGAAAGAGTCGTTGAATGTGGGCATAACCATTTCTCCTGAGTCATGACATAACATTAAATCAATCGCCACAACCATTTGTCATACGATGATACAGAATAGAGCAGCAGCAGCAGCAGCAGTAATTGTAGTAGTAGTAAAATCAGCAGCAGTAAAAGAAGTAACAAATCGACAGTAGTCTTGGTAGTGGGGGTTGGGATAGTAGTGGTGGTGATGATGTTGGTCACGATGATGATGTTGGTGGTGGTGGTGGTGGTGGTGGTGTTGATTGTAATAATTACAATTGTGGTAGTGGTAATGATGTTGGTGGTGATGCTGGTAGTGTTTGGATGGCGGTGGTGGTGTTGATGATGATGATTACGATAGGGATGATAGTCGCGGTGTTGCTAGTGGTGGTGATGATAATGATGATTATGGTGATCATGGTGGTCGTTGTGATGGTGGTGTTGTTGCTGACAATGATGATGATGGTAATGATGGTGGTGGTGGTTTAGTTGAAGGTGATGGAGGTGGTGGCAACAACATAATAGGCACACAGTGCTAATCACATATTTTGCAAAGACCCTTAGACAAATAAGGGCGACCTGACTAAAATAGTGGGCCTAGTTTACTTCCCACAAAACTCCATAGTACCCGGGGCCTCGTTAGCGCAGTCGATAGGAGAATCGATTTCAAACCTAGCTACGACTCGCTGCAGTCCACGGCCGGTGTTCGAAACCGGGCGGTTCCCGGAGTTTGCCTAGTCTCTAGGAAATTGGTACCTGATTTAACACTATGGGGTAAACAG